AGCTTTTGATAAAGTTCCTCATCAAAGGCTCCTAAGTAAGCTCAAAAATCATGGGATAGAAGGACAAGTCCTTTTATGGATCAAAAACTGGCTAGTTCATAGAAAACAGAGAGTGAGTGTAGGTGGGCAATTTTCTCAGTGGAGGGTGGTAAGCAGTGGGGTACCGCAGGGATCAGTACTTGGTCCACTGCTTTTTAACTTGTTCATTAATGATTTGGAGATGGGAGTAAGCAGTGAAGTGGCTAAATTTGCGGATGATACAAAGTTGTTCAGGGTGGTGAAAACCAGTGAGGATTGTGAGGCACTCCAAGGGGATCTGTCAAGGATGGGCGAGTGGGCGTCGGGGCTTCATTGTGTGCCCCGCCCCCTGCACCTCACCCGGGGGAACTGCGTTCCCCCCCGAAATGACCTCTGGTTCTCACAACCCTGAATAATTTAGTGTCATCCACAAATTTAGCCCCTCCTTGCTTACTCCCAAATACAAATCATTAATGAACAAGTTAAAAAGCATCAGACCCAGTACTGAGCCCTGCGGTACCCCACTGCTTACCAGCCTCCACTGAGAAAATGGCCCATTTATACTCACTCTCTGTTTCCTATTAATATTATATTAATGTATTATATTTATTTATTATATTAATTATTTTTATTTATTAATATAATATTAATAAAAGGACTTGTCCTTTTATCCCATGACTATTGAGCTTACTTAGGAGGAACTTTACTTTGATGAGGAACTTTATCAAAAGCTTTCTGGAAGTCAAGGTAAGCAACATCTATTGGGTCCCCCTTGTCCACATGTTTGTTCACCCCTTCAAAGAACATTAACAGGTTAGTGAGACAAGATCTTCCCTTACAGAACCCATGCTGAGTCTGCCTCAATAGTCTAACATTTGTTTAAGACACTTGAACACATATGCTCACACCCACACACCAGCTCTCAATACATGAATTTCCCATAAATTTTTAAGTCAATTGTAAATTTCAATATTTGCCTTTACAGGTTTTGTCTGAGTTTTTTACGTTCCCAATTTGACATTTTCACAGGGTAGCCATGTTGGTCTGCAATAAAAGAGCTAGATTTGAGTCCAGTAGTACTTTAGAGACCAACAAGATTTTAGGGATACAAGTTTTCAAAAGTCAGATACAAGTAGGAATGGAGGTCCCCGAATCCTTACTTCCCATGGTGGGAGGGGTGTTGCAATGGGTGTTGCCCATGGAGCCCTTTAGCATCACTACCTCAGGAAAGCAAGGAAGAGAGTTGACTTTCTGTCACTACTGCTGTTCTCTTTGTTCCCCTTGTTCCTGAGCAAAGAGGACTAGCTGTGCATGCTGTTTTATTAAATCGCATGACTGGCAGTGAAAAAATCCTCCAGGGGTAGGTGGGTTGTAGAATCTTTTGTTCCCTACCCTGTGAACAAAAACACTCCCTTTAGGGGGAGTCTTACCATTTCCTATAGATAAATGCATGGCAGAAGTTAGCCTTTTTCTCTTATCAGACAGCTAGTGCTGCAACTATTGCAGCGCAACTGGAATAAAAAAATCACTCCCTGAATATGGTGCCTTCCAGATCAATTGGACACCACCTAGTCTTCTACATTGTCTCACTTATTTCTTTTGCCACCAAGATGGTAGGCTAAGATCAAAAGGGAGGGCATAAACCACATTCTGGTTACAACAGGCTTCTATTTCCAAGCTTTTGCTACTTACCTTGGGTACTACTTAAGCAAGATCTTTAAAATCATGGGCATTGCATCCTGGTTCAGCCGTCAGTTTATTAATTTAGAATAACCTTCATAACGATTTGTGCAATTGATGAGCAAGGCGTGGGGTTTGAATGCAAAAAGAGTGTCTACAAACAGTAATGATGTACCTTCATTCCTTTTAAAACAAAGATAATTGACTTGAAAAAATGTTACAAAATTATTTTTGCTGCTATTGTCTAGTACTCAAATTGATTTTTGTTACAAGCAATTCTTTTGTGGGAGGATGTGAGAGAAGAAGGGTGGGTTCTAAGCACAAAAAGGGTATTTGGAAAGTGTCATTCCATGTTCCCATGGAGATCTCTCTGCATTCATCCTTTTCTCTACCTGAACACAAGACCTGCGTTCCAGTGACCCTTTTATTCTGTGCATGCTGCATGCAGGAATAGCCAAAGGGCAGCTGTCTACAGTGGACTTACGCTTGAAAAATTCATACTGAAATGGCCATTTTCCAATTTAACTAACAATGTAATTTATGTGCTGCCCTTCTACGTCCATTGTTTGTGGGAGAGGGGGCAGAGGTTGCTTGGCATTTGTGCAAAATGTTTTAACTAAGTAAGATTAGCTATGTTAGCAAAACAGCCTCCATGGGCAGAAGTAAAATCTTTGAGCATCAGACACTGAGGGCAAACCACAGAGGAAAGCCAACACCTTTCTGCTCTTGCTCTCAGCAGCCAGGATTCCTTGGCAGCAAAGGGCAGTGTGCATCTCCAGCTCTTTTCCCAGCTGCCTTGAGCAGAGAAAGTGGGTCCTTTCAACCCAACTACATTTTTCTGTGAAGGTAGAGGGCAGAAAGCCTTCCTTGTGCAGAGACTCTCCAGTACTGCCCTCCCTTGCCTCATTTAGACTCCAAGCTTATCTGTATATGCCATGCCTCATGTCCAGCGGTGGAGCCAGATTGGTGTAGTGGTTAAATGCATGGACTCTAATCTGGAGAATTGGGTTTGATTCCCCACTCCTCCACATGCAGCTGCTGGATGACCCTGGCCAAGCCATAGTTCTGTCAGAGCTGTCTCAGGAGCAGTTCGAGCCCTTTCAGCCCCACCTACCTCACAGGATGTCTGTTGTGGGGAAGGGAAAGGAGTTTGTAAGTCACTCTTGAGTGAAGGGGGGGGGGGATAAATCCAATCTCCTCTTCCAGTGTTGCCATCCCCTCTGAGCCCATGCCCTTCATCACTGCTGCCCCCACTCCACCCAGGAACTAAAGAAGATAACCTTCATGAGGCAAAGCACCCTTGGCCTCCCCTCAAGGGTTAATGTAAATGGGCTTGGTCCATCCTGCAGGTGTTACTAATTGGTTTCTTGGCCTGCTTAGTTCTTATCTTCAAGGCCACAGATGAGAGTGTGGTGATTAGTGGCTCATGAGAACCTGCAGTCCAGTCTGTGTGATGGGAGTGAGAACCGGGGTGATGAGGTAATCTAGAGACTTCTGAAAATGTGTCCTGATTGGATGTCATCCTCACCTGATGTTGCTGGGCCCAAAAAACTATAATTGAGCTAAGGCCCTGAAGAAGAGAGGCTAGCTGGGATTTTGATAGAGAAAAGGCCTGAACTACAACCTACTTGAATTGCAATTGCTAGCAACGTAGAGAATGCTTTGGCCTTTGAATTTAAGGATTGTGCCATCTAATGCAAATTCTAAAAAGTGTTAGTTAAGCAACTTGTTTTCTTGCTGCATGGTTTTAGAGTAATGTGTTGGCTATGGAATAAATTTTCATATTGACAGAAATTGAAGTGAACTTTATAAATCTTTTTTAAAAGTTAAACAACAGTCTGGTTACTTGTGTACAACTGCCCTGGGGATCCCTGGGGTGCAGCCTGGAACTCCTTTTTTATTTTTATTTTTAAATTTTATTAAATTAATTGAATACAATAACAATTAAAAGTACGATAGTTCTCAGGTAAAACAATTAACCAGAGGTCAAGAGGGTTAACAAAGATTGTTTTGTACTATTACAAATAATAGAAATATCATATCAAATGCATTATCTTTGCAATTTCTGGAAGTTCTCCTTGTACACTTACAAATATTCTAAAACAGGATTCCAGATGGCTATAAAAGTAGAATTATTTTTTTTATCAGGTTAACGTGCTAAATCAGCTGAGATCTTGGCCATAATAAAGTGTGTCCATAATTTATTATGCCATAATGTTAATTTTGGAATCTCTGTATCTTTCCACTTTGAGGCTATAGCTGATTTGGCTGCTGACAGGAAAACAATCAAAATTTCTTTAATGTTGGACTTCTGTTTTCGACGATTCATGGCTCGGATGCGTCTCTTCATGCTCCAATGGAGATGCGCTGAGACCCGGCGGACAGGAGGGGTCCCGGACGGGTCCACCCCCCCAGTCCCTGTAGGGGACTGGTGGCCTGGGGTGCGGAAGGGAGTCTCTTCCGAGGCATCGGCCAAGGAATTGGGGCTCCCTTTTTACCCCGAGAGGTCCTGCCATCAGGGAGCCAATATGGCGATCTGAATAGGCTGCCGGATGAAGTGAGCAAGAGATTAAGCGTAAAAACACTCCTGTAAAACTCTTAAAGCAATAAAAACTGAGTTAACTGATCCGTTTAAGCGTCCGAAGTGAACGGTCTCAAACACACAACAGAGGGGGGTTCGGGGAAGAGTTGGGGAATCCCCACCCCATGAAATTAAGCAGTCCATAGACTTCAAACTGAAAAGAAAAAAGTATACTTAACCGTGAGAGCCTTTCCAGGAGACTGAGAGGTGAAAAATAATCCTAAGAGAATACTAAACAGAGAAAGTTCACTTTAATTTCAAAATCTTTCATCTTGTGTAAATAATGTCTGGGAGGGGAAGAAGAATGGCGACTGAAAAGGTGCCTCCTACAGGAAATACTCAACCATTAACTCCAACTCCTCCACAGGCACAGGAAACAGCTGCAGACCTCCCTAATATGCTAGCAATGGCACTGCGTCCTCTGCTGGAACAGATGTCCAATATCCAAACTAAACTGGATGGAGTACAAAAACAACTAGTACGCATGGAGAAAAGAACAGATTCCTCTGAAAAAGCTATTAAGAAAATGGAGATAAAATTAAAAGATACCCAACAAAAACTGGATGAAGTAGAAAAAGAGAGAACTCTAGATAAAGGTCAACTATTACAGCTACAACTGGATGCTCCCATCCACCCAGCGGTTCGAAAGCATGTAAAATGCAAGTAGATAAAATGGGTACCTGCCCCTAGGTGGCAGGGAGCACCCTTCCTCCTTACGAGGATGTGCAGTAGGAGCGGCGGCAGTAACAGCGGCGGCGATGGCAGCGATGGTGGAATGATCCTGGCGACCCAGCGTGTGTACGTGGCGGAGGCTGGCTGGAGGCAGAGTCACAGCAGGTGGTGGCGCAGCGCAGTGGAGCCAGCGGGATGGAGCCGAGGCTGTGGCTGGCGCGTTGCCAAGCGCCTGATGAAGCCCACCAGAAGAAGTCACGGATTGAGATCTGTCCCGGGCGCCAAGAGGTGAAGCGCCAAAAGAGCCCGCCAGGAAACGAAACAACTACTGTGCCAGGAACTGGATACCAACAAACCTTGCTGCCGGGGTGCTGGTAGGATATCACCTCCCCATACAATAATGTGGCCCTAGTCAGGTATAAAGTTGTCTGTAAACCGCTCAGAGACCCTTCGGGGTCAGAGCCGGTATATAAGCCGAAATAAATAAATAAATAAATAAAATGCATCAATGTATGTGCTGCGTTTTCAAGGCATTTCTGAACAGAAAGGTGAAAACTTAAAACAACTCTTAAGTGAAGCCCTGGCTAAAATGACTGATCTTAAACAAGAAGAGCTACAGAAAGATATGGATTTGGTATACTGGACCTATCCAGATTTCATCAAAAAGAATAATCTACTTGGTTAACTATTTGTTAAATTTTCTAAGAGATCTACTAGAGATGCTGTTTTAAAAGGAACTGCTGGAAAAACCTGGAAAATCAAAGAAGAAGTGAAAGTTTCGAAACATATCCCATTTGAGATGAGAAAGCGAAGAAGGCAATATAGAGACTTAACTTATTTTCTCCAATCCAATTCAATTACCTATAGATAGGTATTTCCGGAAGGACTTGTATTCAAATATAAAGCTAAAAACTTTCTGGAACAGCAACAAAACCCGAAAAAATGGGGAAAGAAGCGGAAAAATACTCAGGAAGAACAACAAAGCGAATATGAATCACAAGATACTTCAAGCAGCTCGACCACGACATCTGGGACTTATGATTCAGAAAAAGGAACTTCTGAGACTTCTAACTCAGAGAAAGGAGCAGCAGCCCCTGTTGGCCAGATTTTCATGAGGAGAAAGAGCATCACAAAAAGTCAAGAATAATTGCAGAGATTTTAAAAAGCGCTGTGGGAGGTGGTAAACAGGAATCCTGGCTCCAAGCCAGTGATAGCAGGAAGGGGTGGAAAGTTGCTCTACCCTAGCCAAAGGTGACTGCTTTTGGTTGGCACCTTATAGAACTGGCCCTGTTCACATTATTAATATAGAGAAGGATTAATACGGATTGCTAGATTATGGCCATGCAGCCATGCAGCATCAAAGTCTGGATGGATTCACACGTTCATTTTTAACCTGGCAGCATCAGCAGCCTGTTCAAACTATCTTTTCCAGATAATGCCAAATGCCAATGTATGTCTACAATGCAATTTACACTCTCCTGATTGAATTGTGTTTTGAAAAGACAAGCAAATTTGGCCAAGCAGCAAAAGCCTCTCCAAAAGCAGAGTGAGTCTCTCCCAAGCAGGTCTTAAAGAAATCAACTGTGTCCAATCCTAAACCGTACTATACCCAAGTCCACTGAAATCTGTGATCTTAGAAGGGTGCAACAGTGTTTAGGATGGATCCAGTTGGTCAGCCGTGTTGGTCTAAAGCTGTATAACAAATTTAGAGTCCAATGACACCTTTAAGACCAACAAAGGTTTATTCAAGGTATGAGCTTTCGTGCGCACCCACACGTTATCAAATACGTTAGAATGGCAGGCAAGGTTCAAACTTATAGTCAGAGAATGAACAGCAAATTAACATTAAACATGATGATCAAGATATGTAGTGTGACACTATATAACAAGTTAAGGTTATAGGATCAACAGTTGTAAAGCAATAAATATGTCAAACTAACAGATAAATGTCTAAATGTGTATTTTCTAATTGTGGGAAGTGACTGGGAATCTTCATTCTCTCCTGTTTAGGACTGTGCTGCAAATTAGCCAGTTGTAACTTCATGTGTGGGATTTGATAGGTTTATTTTTCTAAGGTGGGTTTCTTTTTTGTGGACAGTTTGGGGGAATGTGCTTGTAATTCCTCATCCAATGCAAGGAACTGCCTCTGTCTGACCATTGCATTTCTCCTGCTAGCAGCACAAATCATTGTGTGTTTACTTGATTTGCTCTGACATTGTGTATGATTTAAGGGATGAATGTGCGACAGACACTGTATGCAACTGTTGCTATGACGCTTACATGAACGCAAATCGTATGAGTCACTTGGAAGAAGAAACTTTTTTATTAACTATTTTTCATTTTTTAAAAAGATAAGGGTACAGAAAGGGAAAAAAGTAGGAAAGAAACTTAAAAAAATAATAACTAAAAACCATAGCCAGCCCGTAACTGGAAGCAGGGGGAACCCCCAGGTAGAAAGTCATTGCCTTATAACCAGGTAATTGATTCTAGAATGAAGAGTTTCCATCCTCCTTTGACAGCTTGGCCCTCCTCATGCCTCCACAGAATGTACATCTGATTAAAACTTTCTCAGCCCAGTGAACAGATTAGAGGGATTTGTATACACACTCAAATACATCATCCTTTGATCCTACTGGTGAGTCATCTCAGGCTGGAATAGCTGCTCCATTTGTTGATTTGCACCAGGACTTGTCTCTGCGTCCAGGTGATATGCTTCTGTCACCCAGCCTTCTTTTATTCCTTATTTCATAGCCTATCTGACTCTTTAGCTGCATCTTCCAATCCCCCTTGATCTTGTCTGCTCCCTGTTGTACAAGCATTTAATACACAGGTGGCCAATCTGCAGCTCAGGTAGGATTTCCAGGTTGCAACCCAGAGAGCTGTCCTGTA